TGTGAGAGAGAGAGAGAGAGAGAGAGAGAGAGAGAGAGAGAGAGACTATGGTACAATCTTAAGGGAATATAGACTTGCATCATCATTTTTACATCTTCATTTATTTTGCATAAATAACACTGCATTATTTACTGTATAGTGAGCTTGTTTTTTTCATTTTGGGATTCTGTTGTTAAAGATGAATCAAAGTCTTTGAATGTTGTCTTTGTTACAAATATTATTTTGATATCAAGTATGTAATATTTATTTTAAATGCAGACAAGAGTTTTGAGCATATACTGGAAGTTTTTTGTATTTATTGTGGTAGCAAATCTTGTAAGCATACTCTAATTAATTCTGGTGGGCTGTTGCTTATATTTATTATGTTTGTATGTGTTTATGTTATATATGAAGAAGAGATTATATATTTTAAGTTATATGTTACATGTATGCTATATTTTGTATATATCAGATTGTATATGTTAAACCATTATTGCATTAAATTATATATATATATATATATATATATAAATTATTAACATTTTATACTTTTAATTGTATCATTTAATTATTTAAATTATTTAATGAGATTATATTATGTAATTAAATTATATGTTTTAAAATTGAAATTGTTTTATGTTATACGTATTTAATTGTACATTCACAAACACAAACATCTCTGCGTTTTTAAGCTATAGGCTTCTATATTCTTCTAAAATAAAAATAAAAACCTTTTGCCGTTTAATTTTATTGACTGATAGTGTTTGATTAAAAAAACTATTACAAACAAATTACAAAATCCTAATTAAAAAATAAAATAATCACATTTTATTCATATTTTATATATATTTTTTTGTTGTTGTTGAAAACTGTTTATTGAGAGAATTGAGAGAATTATTATTGAGAGAAATTGAAAACTGTTTATTGAGAGAATTTTTTATGTTTCTTAATCGATATAAATATATATATATATACAGTATATATATAAACACATTTAAATGTGTTTATATATATACTGTATATATATATATATTTATATCGATTAAGAAACATAAAAAATTCTCTCAATAAACAGTTTTCAATTTCTCTCAATAATAATTCTCTCAATTCTCTCAATAAACAGTTTTCAACAACAACAAAAAAAAATATATAAAATATGAATAAAATGTGATTATTTTATTTTTTAATTAGGATTTTGTAATTTGTTTGTAATAGTTTTTTTAATCAAACACTATCAGTCAATAAAATTAAACGGCAAAAGGTTTTTATTTTTATTTGAGAAGAATATAGAAGCCTATAGCTTAAAAACGCAGAGATGTTTGTGTTTGTGAATGTACAACATTTACATACAGCATTCCTTCGAGAAACAACACACACACACACACACACACACACACACACACACACACAGACAGACAGTGCGCTATCTATCTGTCTATCTCGGTGTGACATGACCCCCGTCTGGAGGAGGTCCCTCACCCCTGACTGTAGCTCTGCCCCGGGGGCGGATCAGCGGAGCAGGTGCTGCTGAGTCTCTAGCGCCGCCTTCACTCACTCCACTGCGGCTCACTCGGCGCTCTCGACCGCTGCGCTGCCGCCGGAGCAACGCCATGGATTTACTCCAGCTCTAAATGCGTGGGAAATACGCTTTTCTTCAGTTTTAAGGTGAGTTCTGTGATAAAGAAGCTCGGGCTGAAGTGTTTTATTGCGTTTGTTAGGGGCTCCATCGCTCGCCGGAGAACTGCGTGATGAGGGGCGCTTTGTTTTCATTCATACTCGTTCGTGGTCCATCCTGCAAGTGTACAATTAGCTGTTTTTGTTTACTTTGTTTAAATATATTACAGTCGCTCCATTTGAGCCTGGAATACTATCGTCTTCCGTGACAGATATTGATTTTATTGGCTTTGTTATTAGAAATGATACGCTTGATGTGGGACCTTTTGGGACTCATTCATATTCAAAACTGTTTAACAATCGTCTCTGAGTAAAATATTGGATTTTTTAGGCTGGGAGTCGTGCTGAGTTAGATGACCTTCTGCTATTCTGTTACCTCAAGGTTAATGTTCCATCCGTCTCAGCCCTCCCTTCTGGATCTTGTGTAAATTAGGTTATTAACACAGTATTTGATGTGAATTTGTCCAGAAAAGCGCTTTATGATTAAGCCTGAGCTCATGAAAGGCAGAGAGAAGTATCACTCAAATATTGGTTACATTTATTAATGTTATAGATTTTAGTGTACAATATGAAAACTAGGTCAATATATATTGGCTAGACTGATTATTTGGCCAATTTTTGGTCAGTTTGGGATTTACAGACATCCTTGTCAATGAATAATAAGCATTTTATGAATTTTGGTGAAGTATTTTCTGTACATCTGACTGGCCGTCCAAAATATCAGTATTGGCCAAAATGGCAAAACCTATCATGTTAAACCATAGAAACTGTTGGTTTGGTCACATCCTGTCTGTTTTACACATGTGACGTTTTCGTTTTTGAAGTCTCTTGGTCCCTCTTGTGGTTTTTTGTGTGGTCAAATACGTCAGTGCACTGTGGAAAGTCATATTTACCCAGCAGCCTGTCTAGATATACGTACAGTGTATGCTGGCAGAATGTGAGTTTGCACGATCCAGCCACACTGACTTCCAGAGATCATTTAAAATTTCGGCTGAGGTTTTATTTGATTAAGTGCGAAACTGAAATGCGAGTTGTAGTTTGTGTTAAACTGGAAAGACTGGATGAGTTGGATGTTATGAGAAGGAGTAGTTAAATGAGAAGTTACTGTAATTACATGCTCAAAAAGATTAAGGCGTCATTAAGTCAGTATCAATTGTAATTGAAGATCATCAACAACTGACAGCAAATCGAATGGAAAAACGACTAATGTCACAGCTTGAAAATATACAAATGCAAAAGCGCAATGTAAGTAAGTTTTTACAGTAAGTATGATCGGGTACTGTGGTCCAGTAATGGTTTGATGTGAGTGTATCTTGGGTGGGGATGGAGGTGGGGGGATGCAGGCGCTGTCTAAAGAAACTCCTCATGACTCCATTAGACTCTTATTTGCTTATGACCAGCTTGATAACGGAGATTTACATTCTTGAATGCTGATTTGACCAGCCAGTCTTTTGTTCTTTGACCTCTATAAGCCTTTGAGTGTTGTAGGTTATTACACATAAAGGTGTTTTATGTATAAAGCACGTTTTATTTATTTATTTTTTTTAGTCATGGTTGGGTATACAAACAGGTGTAAAATATGTGCATTTAAAAATTTTATA